CATCCAGGAAGGACAGTTAAGAGGAAGGATGAAAAGAGATAGAGAGGTAGAGATGGATGGATTGATGGAGAGATAGAGAGATGGATGGATGGATGGATTGTTGGAGAGATGATCCATATATCCAGGATGGACAGTTAAGAGGAAGGATGAAGAGATATAAATAGAGAGGTAGAGATGGAAGGGTAGATGGATGGATGGATGGATGGATGAAGAGATGGATGACGAGATGGATGGATGGATTCATACATCCAGGATGGACAGTTAAGAGGAAGAATGAAGAGAGATAGAGAGGTAGAGATAGATGGATAGATGGATGGATGGATGGATGGATGGATGGATGGATGGACGGATGGATTTATGGATAGAGATATGGATGGATGGATGGATCCATATATCCAGGATGGACAGTTAAGTGGAAGGATGAATAGATATAGATAGAGAGGTAGAGATGGATGGATCCATCCATCCATCCATCCATAATTCCGTCCATCTCACCATCCATCCATCCATTCATCCATCCATCATTCTGTCCATCTCACCATCCATCCATCCATCCATCCATCCATGGGGATACCTGTTGGTGTGAATCCCTGATTCCATAATAAAACAGAAATTTGTCTTCAACGACAACTTAATTAATAAATAAACAAATAACAAAAAAGGGAAATAAATAAGCAAATGAGAAACGTCATAAAATAAGAAATATAATAAAACAAAAATCAACCATAATTAAAAATGAGAGTTTTGCATCATCAGTTTTTAAATAACATGCATCGCAACAAACTTGCATAAGGTACAGCATACTGACTGATTAAAATGAAAAAGAACAAAAATACACTAATAACAAAATAAAAACCCTTAGTTGTGATTTCACTTTACAGCAGCTTTGTGGTGTTGCAAAGAAAACTCCTAAACACTTCCATTGATAATGACATCAAAGTTTGTGGTTCAACCTCTGAGCATAAACAATGTGCAAAATTTCACAAAAGCCTGTCCAATAAATGCAGAGATAATTCATCATGAACCGAAGCTACCGGCTAACACTTCTTACACTTAATCTGCAAATCAAGTGCATCAGTGAAGCATTTACTCAAGTCTTTAGTAATTTAACACAATGATTAAGCCCGTCGCTTTTATTACACTAACCTGTGAAACGTAACATTTTATTCTAGATTTAAAACTATACATATTACAGCTCAGGCCCCTGCACACTAGTCCCTTAAAACCTTAGGAAGGACACACGTGTCAAACTCAAGGCCCGGGGGCCGAATAGGGTCCTTGTTAACGTCTTATGTGGCCCCCAAAATGATATTTTAAAAGGAAAATACTTTTATCACCTCATTTAGTGCAGACTTCTCATGACAGGAGGCCAAGTTTGATGTAAAAAAAAATAAATAACTGGGATATTTCCATAACCTTTGATTTTGATGCTGTAAAAGTGACAGAACGTCAACTGAGACCAACTTGTCTCTTGTTGAGGAACCTGCAACCAAGAAAAGGTGCGAGGTATCTGACAGGAGGTCATGAATCAACTGAAACTAGCCCTCGCTCTGAAAGATGTTAGTTTTTGCCCCATTTAGTAAGTGAGTTTGACGCCCCTGCAGAGCAACGACTTGTGATTTAACCTATAAGCATGTATCTAAGTAAAAAAAAAAAAACTATTTTTTGCCCTATAAGTTTTTTTTTTAAATTTTTTACATAATTTACATGCCCTGTGACTTATAGACCGAAGCAACGTATTTATGGATTTTTTCCTATATTTATAAACCAATTTTTGACTGAGATATGACTTTTCATTCATTCTGACTGAAAAAAATTGAACACTACCATTTTCAGCCGCTAGATGGCACTCGAGCGGTATGGCATGCCGTTGCATCATGTAATAGGTAAAAGTGGCTATAACGATAAATTTAAAAAAGTTCAAGACAAAAGCAGCTGGACT